TCAACGGAGAGTCTCCAGACTGATCTGCGAGTGAAACCTTGAAAGCTCGCGAGATCAGGATGGTCTCACCAGGCTAGTTCTCAGTTCCACTAAAAACCCGTTGTTCTCAGGTTTAGGTAAGAGGTAAATCAAATCTAACCCAGCGTCTCACCAGCGAAACAATAAAGCACACTTTCTACGCACTGGCTTCCTTCCATGTTGCTCTCCATTGTTTACTTTCCTGATTTCTGTTGCATTGCTGACATCATCAACTCTAACGCAGCATGATGATGTCACCAGCGAGCAGCGATGGGGGAACAGAGGCCACGCAGCTGCCAGCGAGGGATTAGGAGCCATATGCCGATTGTTAGCTGGTTGACCCATGTTTGAAGAGCGCATGTAACCCGCCATTTTCAGTGGGAAAGAGACTTATGAATTCCTCTACATCACGGGTTCCCAAACATTTTAGTCTGGGACGCAAAAAAAGCCTGCAGGAACAAAGCAGCTGAAAACAGCTTTATCTCATCTGGTTTCACACCTGCAGCCTTTTATCTGCTGCTGCTTTCACTGCCGGCATGAGCTGCTGTTCTCCTGCACATAGAGCTAGATCTACGGAGTCAGAAAGGGGTCAAAATGTTTGTAAACTAATAAATCTGAGTAGACACTGAAAAAATATAACATAATATTGAATGTCAAATTTTTACCTTATAATCTTAGAAACTAAAAAAGCATATAAAATAATAAGAATTAAATCTAAATTCTTCCACTCAGCTTGAAAAAACTCATAACTTTGTTTAGTATTTTAATTACACTTTTTTTTATTTTGTTTCTTTATTGTAGTTTTAGATTTAATATTTTTAGAGTCAAATCCCTCTTTTTAGTTTTCTATTTTTTTCCAAATTCATTTTTTAGTTTTAGGATTTTTTTTTTTACACTTTAAAATCAGTTGTTTTCATTTTGACCCCAATGTGACGGGAGGGGGCGGGGAAACATGATTGACAGCTTGCAGCAGCGCTGGAGCGATGCCGCGTTCCATGTTGCAACATGGAACGGGACATTTGATCACTGCTGCACTTAAGGAAATAGAAATTTTCAGTTTACTGCTAGGCTGCAGCTCATTTACGTTCTGAAAGCTGTAAGAAAACAACATTTCGTTTTTTTTAAACCGATGTGTATAGAAAACGATAATAGAAGTTGTCTAATGTCTAAGTCTGGGGTCAAAATCTGAAGGTGAAAAAAAACTTATTTAAAAGGGTAAAAAAAAAAAAAACTGAAAAAGCAATTTGAAAAAAAAATAAAAAAAGAATGAAATGGATTTGAATCTGAAAA